CATACACACATATGTATTTTCTTAATCTGAAATTATTTTTTTAAAACAGTTATTTATGTACTGATATATAAATCTCCTCACAAGCCATGTTGTTTTAAATCAGCATCAAATTCCACTCAGTCTAACAGTTTTACCAGAATATGATTGCAACTCAACTGTGATTTGGCAAACTTTCCTAAGAAATGGTGAATAAGTTGCTGAGAGACCATCTTATATTGGCATTCTGCTCTTCAAATCCCATCCAACACTCCTTCCCCCGACAGCCTCCTCTGCTCGACACCCTTCAGCATGGGATAATGGTTCTCTTGTTCCCATCAGACTCAAGATATGTAGTCTGTAAATGCAGTTGCTTCTCATCTGCCTCTGACGAGAAGGAGCATCAGGTGATTCAGACTTGAAGGTCGCGGTCTTCTTTGTTTAGAAATGATGGCTCAGAACATTATTCTCATGGCTCAAGTCTTCTCTAGGACCATCAAACAGAATCTGTGAGACTTGTCATCATTTTAGAATCTAGTGCAGCATTCAGACAATTGTCCCTTCATTGTATTCTATGAGCCATGAGGAAAATTTACATTTAAAAAGTTTTTCTTTGCCCTCCCCATTTATGTGGAATTTAAATAGCTACCATATTGTTTCCAGAAATGGAAGAAAAGTCAAGGATAGAGGCTCACTCCTGCAATCCCAGCACTACAAAGCCCGAGCGAGGAGGATGACTGGGAGTCAGGGTCCAGGCTGAGCTGTCTGTCTTTGGAGCTCTAGTCCAACTACAGCTGCAAAGGCAAGACCCTGTCTCGGAGAAACGAACACATTGGAGAAAATTAGGAATGACAGGAGATTATAATCTAAACTGGTTTATTAATTTGCCATATGATGCACACGGAATTTAACCCACCTTCACTCTGTAACTTTTCTTTTCCAGGCACTGACAGCTCTGTATACCTCAGATGTCCACACTCCCTGCCAGTTGATTCGTTGGCGGACTAGCTTTTTCAGGGTGATGCTACAGAAGTTCTATATCTCCACTGTCATGGAACCAAAGTTTAAACTTTTTTTTAAAAAAAATATCCCTTTATGTTGTGCATGTGTATAATAAAAAGTAAATCACATACCTTGGAAAACTCTCAGTTTGTGGAATAATAAGGGAAGTATACACAAAACAGCAGTTAACCATGTGTGGCTTTATCTGTTATTAAATATGCCTAAATAGGCAACTGAACATCACTATCTGCCTATTCTTCTGTCTGCATGGTACGTGAATAAAACAGACACGCTAACCAGGCATGGTGCTGCACAGCTTTAATGCCAGCACTCGGGAGGCAGAGGCAGGAGGATCCCTGTGAGTTCATTGCCAGCCTGGTCTACATAAGAGTTCTAGACCAGTCAGCACTCCAAAAAAAAAAAAAAAAGAAAAAAAAATCCTGGGTATGAGTTGGGTGGATTCATGGATTCATGCATTACATTCTCTGCAGATGTCTCTTATAAAAGCCAGCCAATGTAAAAGTAAACCAAAAAGCAATTTGAAGGAGGCAGCTACTTGATAAACTGTGGACTGACTGATATTCTCCACATTGTGACAGAATGGCAGACATAAACCACTTAAGACAAGAAAAACAAGGGAGGGATTTGGGACCAGGCATAACTTTCAAAGGCGAGATCTTGGCTACCTAAGTCCTCCAAATAGGCCCCACCTACTGAAGTTTTCAGAACGTATTCACCTATTGTCACCAGATAGGGACCAAATGCATGAGTCTATGAGGACATTTCAGATTCAATCCAAAATAAAATGTGACAGATTCTGCTTGTGTTTTTGCTCTTGCTGGTTTCCTATTTTTATAATCTTCACTGCTATTGAAGCAGAAGAAGGAGTTAACAAGTATAAGATGGCGGAAGACACAGCTCACTGCTAGAAGAGAGCTGGGGAATTATGGCAGGATGCTATAATTCAGGGATGCTATAAGTCAGGGAGCATCAGAGCGACTGAGATTCGCAATTGTAGTGTAAACTGTGACCACCTCCCCTACTGACCACTGATGTACTCACTATTGGCAATGCCCCGGGCCAGATGGCCAACAATTAACAGTACCCAGACACACATCAGGGAGGGTCTATGAAAGACAAGACCGCCTGGGGCGAGAGTCACACCTTTGCTTTGGTGTGTGTGTGCAAGCGGGCGTGGTTCAAACAGTTCCAAGCTGAAGCCTTACTTAATCCGGACATCTGCTGAAAGAGGAAGAGCAGGTAGAAATTTAGATATGGAACTGTAAAAACAAGAAAACAGAGAAACGAACTAAATCCCGAAAACTGGATTTCAGCTTTCCAGTTTTCGGGATTTAGTTTGTGCTCAAATGTTCAGGTGATCACAAATGTACTCAAATACAGGAAAAGCAGGGAGAGTCAGGGAGCTTATGTAAAAATAACAGACGATGGATGGAGGGAGGGTAAAAGGAGAGAAGAAAAACATCATCAGAGAAATCAGCTATTGCAAAAGACACACGGTGTGAAATTTAACACGTGAGTACAGGCAAGTAAATTGTCTACGAGAACATCGGAGAAAACAGTAGAATTCAGAGATGCTGCAACGGAGTACCAATGACGGTCAGTTTTCACTGTAATTCATTAGACCCGTCTAGACATAGAGGAAAGCTGGAATGACTGGTTTAGTATCACGCTTTATAAAATTATCACCAAAAACAGAAGCACTTAATAAGGGTAAAAAATAGAACCATCATGCATGCGCATATGCCAAATTGCAGAGCAATAAAATAGATGAAACAAAAACTGGAGCAGCTAAAGGAAGAAGTAGGTAAAAGCATCAACCTCATTGATCTTAGCAGTTTCCCCTAGGTGACAGACACAACTAAACAACCCAGTACCAAAGAAGAAGCTGTAAATAGCATTAGGTCTGACAGAGATATAGCCGATGATTTAAAATATGAAACCACCACAAAACCAAACAGTTGCAGTACGAGCCATCTCTTCAAGACCACACGTAACACTCATGGTGGGCTTTACTCCAGACTGTTAAAGAAAAATTCTTTACAGATTCAGACAGGTGAGGTTTCTGATCTCAGAAGAACTGGAAATAAGATATGGAGAGAAACACTATCAAGAAAGTTAAAAATACATATCTAAACATATACGCGAGACAAGAACAAAAACGTTTAATTTAAACCAGGTAGACAACCTTTCTTGTAGATAGTTGGTTTCCTCTGTGCTCACCTCAAGGCTTCTTCAATGAACACATGTGCAAAGAGCCTCACCCCCAGGGACACCGGTTCTGAACGGTTTCACTGATAGGAACTTGTCTCAAAAAGTCTGGTCTCACTACAGCCCATATTAAGGGTACAGGCCATCAGCGGCAACCGTTAAATTTTAATTCCCCGTTAAACTGCATTTCTTAGGAGACCAACCAGCCAGAGGGTGACATTCCATTGTACATGATATTATATCATGAAGGAAGCAGCCATTCAGCCTGGCAGAACAGGTCATATTCTGGATCTGTATCATCCTTCCTGACCCAAAGTTCTTCAGTAGGTACTGCCATTATTTACAGACGGAAACAATGACTGATAGATTGTTTTGCTTTCCCGTATTGTACCTTTGCCTAGAAGATCAAATTTAAATCAAAGGAAGTATGAAAGTTAACAATAACTTAGAATTCAGTGGTTTTAACACAAGATTTCATTGCCCAGGACTCACTGATGGTACTGAGTGTTCTGCAGAAGACCCAAGTACGATGCTAGGCAACAGTAAGAGCTATTGAAAGATTACAGAACAATGGTTCTCATATTTCCTGGTGCTGTGACCCTTGAATACAGCTCCTCATGCTATGGTGACTCCCAACGGTAAAATTATTTCATTGCTACCTCAAAACTGTAATTTTGCTACTGTTATGAATCATAATGTAAATATCTGATATGCAGGATACCTGATACACGACCCCTGAGACCACCGCTAGAAAATCTAGCCTATTCCTTAAAATAGCACTCATTGTATTGTGCGCTCTGCCTATGGCTGCAATTCAGACGCCCAGTGTGTTGGTGTTTTGAAAATGCTTTCATCGGATTGGCCTGTGGGCAAGTCTGTAGGGTATTTCCTTAATTAATGATTGATATGGGTAGGTCCAGGCCACTCTGTGGGCAGTGCCACCCTTCTGCAGTTTGTAGGTTGTGTAAGAATGCAGTTTAGCTAACCTCGGGAAGGCAGCCTGTAACCAGCTCCCTCCATGGTCTCTGCTTCGTTCAGTTCCTGCCTGACTTCCCTTCCTGATACACAAAGCGGTAAGATGAAAAAACCCGATTCTCCCCAAGCTGCCCTTGGTCATGATTGTTTGTTTACTGCTGTACTAGAAAGCAGCTACAACACCCAGGAACAAGACGACGATCTTCTCATTATTACATCAACTATTTGACTTAAGGAACTTCCTCCTTCTACCCTATAAATTGGTACCCAGTAACAGAAAGTGTAGATATTTACTGCATAATTTCTAGTGGTGCCTTCTATTATGCAACTTGTTTGCACCCTGAGTATTTAAATGATAATTATAGGACAATACAACTTTACAATCACCAAAATTCAAATTTCGTATAATATGCACACCTCAAAATATTCATTTAAATCCTGACCTAGACAGGCAAACTGATGGAATTGGAAAAAGGCCATAGAAAATGGCTTGTGGTGAGGGTCCTGGTGAAGCCAGGGTGCAAAGCTGGCTGTCACCTTCTCTTAGACACACACACATTTTTTTTTCTTGAGTCATTACCTATGTTGTACCAGTGTTGCATTTCAGAGATTATTCTATCCCAGTGTACATATGTTTCTCCCATCTCCAGTTACATCTCCCAGGGGCTTTTGTACTTAAATAGAAAGCATTTGGAAAATTGAAGCCCATTTAGAAACAGAGGACTAGCTTTCTACGCAAACGCTTCCGCGAAAGGCAAGATGCTTCACTAAAATACATTCCCTCCGTGTGCCCACCTGATGGAATAAAACCTTGGCTCGTATTTCCCTCACAGAAGAGACAGTCCTCCTGTTCTCCTGACTTGGGGGCGACCCTGCTTTTCCCTCGCTGCCCATCAGTTGGCGCCTTTTACCTCCCCCCAACCCCCACCCCCGATCCAGCTTTGGGGGCTGCAGTCGCTCCGCAGCTCGCAGGTCACATGGCCTGGCAGAGCTTGGGGAACCCTGCGCCGGAGCGGCTACGGGAGGAGGCGAGGCTTCCGCTGCTCCTGCCCGGCAGGATTCTGCGAAGGCGCTTCCACCGAGATCTGCCAGCCTGGGCTTCGGCGACGCTGGCCTTGGCAAGCCAGGACGCCTCCACCGGGTAGGTTTCCTGTCCGGCTGGTGTCGCGGAAACGCGCCCCAGGGAGGGACCGCGGTGTGGGAACGGCGGCTGGCGCGGGGAGCGGTGCCCAGGAGGCCTGCGTCTCCCGCCGTGCGCCCGGCAGGCTGGCTC